CGGTCATTGAGGGTTTGCGTTGCGAGCTCCTTGGCAAAGCGTAACTTAATTGATCCTTGACTTGATCGGTGAAACACCTGCATTCATTCATATATATATATATATCCAACTTTCGGTTTGCGCCTATAGACCTTATTTCAAACTGAATTATTCCACATTATAGATTATTCTTTGAGGAAATTAACAGCCACAGCAATGGTATCTATTGGCCTCTATCCTTTCAATCAGATGCCATTTTGATTGTGTACCTTTCAATGTCAGTCGTACGTCATCTTTTTGCATGGCCATCTTATTGTCTCTAGTTCCTTGAATAAGCTTGTTATCCTTAACAGTTTACAGTAAATAACATGAAAGTGTAAAAGTGAGTAAATTCTAGGGGCTGTAGTATCTGTGGTTAGACCAAAAAGGTTCTGTACACAAACTTCTGTTATGAGCGGTCGTCGCGGTCTCACCGCAATGAACTAAACGGGGGCCACAAGGGCGTCAAGTTAGGCGAACGAATGCTTACAAGGGTATCACTGCTGAACTTAAACAATCCAGGTATTTTGACACCCTTATCAGTCTGGATAGAGAGCAAATGATAATCAAAGTGAATAACAGATCTACCATTTCGGCCCTAACCAGTTGTTCCTAAACAAATGCGGATAAATGCCCGGAATATTAACAAAGAAACCCTCTGTAAATGTATCACGTCTAAAAAGGCTATAATACTGGTAGGCATCATGGAGGTTAGTCCAAAATGATGCGAGCATAGGGCCTAAACAGAGGACCAGATGAAAAATGCTAATAGTATTCATGGGCCAATCCAAAAGGTGTCCACTGCATGCAAACAAGTTAAAGAACAAGGACCTTATTTGTTTACAGGAGCTCATTGCGGGGGGAGAGGGGGGAAGGGGGGTAGAAGTCGTAAACCGACCGCAGATATATGGGTCGAATAACTGTTAAAGTTCAGCCCGTCCGAACCCCCTCCCACCCCCGAATGAGGTAATAAATCAGTCCCAATGTCCCCGGAATGCCATATTAGAAAAGGTCCCTTTCAGCGACCAGCCGCTGCTACCCATGTACTTCGTTCACGCATGAGATGAAAGCGAGTCCGGCGGTAGGCAGACAGGCTTAACTTCAGAATACGATCATCTCTGAAGATTCAATCGAACGGCGCTTTATAATGCACCAGGAGTGGACCTTGGACAGTTCATGAGACGGGAAAATAACCTCTGCATCAAAACTAGATGCTATTAATATGCAGGGAGTCGATAAAATAAATTGAGTTTAATCAGAGAACGTCAAATGCTATCAATGCGTTGACTAGCAGCACGATTAGGGAAAATCGCAATTCAGTGCGCAAAATGCACATTGGACGACTACCAGAAACAACATAGGAAACGTCGGGAGCTCAAGAAATGCGTCGAGTCCCTCAGATTGTTAAACGCAATCATATTACATTCATAGAGTAGAATCCCGGATTTTTAGTTAGTAAGTCTTGGGATAGCAAGACATCAGGGTTGCAAACTTAAAGAAATCCCATCCCTATAAACTCAGTGAGCCTACTACCTTGAAGTGGACTGCTTGAGCGAAAAGTTTGCCGGTACGGTTTGCTTCGAAATCGGGGTTCACCCACTAGTCGAATGTCTCGAGGCTGCGAAATGCTGCTGCGGAAAATTGGCAAATTCCTCTTATCCAACTCAATTTTACCACTATTAGGCACAGCAATTCCCACCACTCAACGACAGTTTTGGAGAGTTGTGGTATCAATGAGGGAGATTCTATGTAAGCATAGTTATCCGGAACCAGAGGTCTTAGCTAATAAGTAATAGTTGTTTCTTAACCAATTCACATTTACAACCTGACCCAGAGGACACTCGTTGAGAACAGCGCAAGCACAGTAACGGCCCCTTGAAAGGAGTGTCACGATCCCCAAAATCTGTTTAGGGAAATTTTTTTGACTGTTTTTTTTTGACTGAAGTAAAACCAAATAATCCCTGACCATGCAGTTTTGACTTGAAATAACAATTGTATCTCAAGGTTGGACTTCTTAAGTAAGTCTACATTCTGGCGTTGCACAAAAGCAATCTACCGGAACGCAAGGGTGGCAATCTCTTCGAAATTTCGTTTAAGTAGCAGGTTTGGGAAAAGCCAGACAAATGTGATATCTACGTAGTTTTTCTACCGGTGCTAGTATTATAAGCCGCGTTTATCGGTCTTGACGGGATTATCCTCCCTACAGAGTACGCTTTCCGGCACGCCTTACAATCAGCGTTGAAATGAATGAAGAACAGGACTTTCCAAACAATGGTTTTCGTGTCCTAAGACAATTGATACCATCTTCACACAGCCTTGATCTGCTACTGCAGGGATGCAAAATGGGGAAGTTAAGATAGTTTAGGGCTTTACTAAACAGCAAACCAATTCCGAGGCCTGCAGATAGATTAGAAGCAAAGAAAAATTGCATTTTTTGCTTTATATATTTTATAAGCCGACCTTTTCAGCTATAACCAAATATTTTTGCGCTCTGTAGTTCGGTCATAATATTGCACTCTCAAAGATATGCATATACGTTATTCACTTATAAGATGGCGAAATGTGCTTAACTGAAGGCCTTGTACTGCAGGATTACTATATAAATGATTGGTGATGAGTAGGATTTAGAAAGTTGTCCTACTGTCCCGGCGGAGTTTATTAGCTACTCTTGCTCTTGTCCATACATTAGACTAGCTACACAACACCCTTAATGAACAAGAATTTAGCCCTTCTGTAATAGTTAACGATTTTCCCTTGAATAGGTCATAACTAGGAAAAAAATACTTTTGTTTAGCAAAATAGCCGGAAGAGAGAAGTAGGTGAAAAAACAACTTACCGAGCAGCCGGGATGGAAAAGTTCCAAGTGTTCCTCCACCAGGAAATGGGATGTAGAGCAGGCCAAGCAAAGAGAGCAACTGTAGAGGAGGTAGTTGTTCTCGGGGATGTTTCGACTGCACGGCAAATGTGCATCGAAGCGGACCTTGTTGATGGACTCCAGACTGCAGATGGGGCAGCGGAGAAGGTGGACAATACGAGCAGGCTTTGGTGGAGAGCCGGTGGGGGGGATCCGGGTCATTGCTGTGCATGCCTTATCCGTTTGCCCTTTCTCTTTGACTGGACGTGATATCGGGCGCGGGACCGGTGACGGAGTGGATACTAGCTGATCGAATTCGACCCCTCGACCACCGTCAGCGGCATGCTCAGCACGGTTGCAGATACCACTGGACGCGTCAGTTGCCGAGGTAGCAGTCGGGGAGGATGTCGATGCGGGCGATATCACTAGTGAGGGTGGAGGTGCCGATAGTGACGTTGTATGAGTCTCTTCCGGAGCAGCAGCAGTAAGCGGTTGTTGAGATTGCTGGTTGAACCCCGAGAAGAGAAAGTTGGATGCTGGGGGTGTGGCGGACTTAACATTGAGCTGTGAGAGGGCCAATTGGCAGATAGACTGAAAATCGTGCTGGTTCATCATCTTGAGGTCGGGTTGGGTCAATGAACGATTCCACATCGAGGTCTGCACTGAGGACATGGCCACACGCACAGCGACACCAACAGTTGTTCACCGACGAGAAGAAGTGAGCAGCGGAAGATGGCTCAAAGCAGCAGCAACAGCAGCAGCACCAGCAGCGAAAAGGAAAGCCGCTTGCAGCAACTGTAGTCGGCCTGACCTAGAGACGCAAGAAGAGAGGTTGACTGCTTTACAAACGTTTGCCGCTTGTTGTGTATGATTTTGTGTGCGTTTGTGTGTGAAAAAGACCAAACCGCCGGAGCCAGTGATGCAGGGGGGCTGGAGCAGTGAATATCTAGAAACCTAGAGGGGCCAGGCGAGATGTGCGTGCGCTATCGTGCAGTTGTACTGATGCACGCACATACACACACACACACTGGGCCCGGGTCAGCTCGTCTCCGTATTGGTGTGTCAATCGCGAAACTTGAATGTAAGTGGGAGGCCAGTCACAGTCTTCGAATCAGGCCAACCAATGAGAATGTAGCTCTCGCGGTGGTGACAGTATCGGGGGGAGACTGACTGGCGAGGACGCCGTGGGCGGTGTGAGTGGACACGTTTGCGCGCTCTGGTTGGCTGCCTCGCTATTTAGCGCCTGATGTCGCGCGATCAAGGCGGTAAGACACAGCGCCTGCTGTTTCTGCTCGGTTTAGCAGCTATCTGCACTGGACCTAAATAACGGTGGTGAGGATATGGGAAGCGGGCAAACTTCGTTGTGATTGGATAGAAATCGCCCTCCGCGCTCCTGGTCAAAAAACCTTACACAACTTCCAGCAGCGCAGAACGCATATTTGAGGTTCCTTTTGGGTCCGTAGGAGGCAGGTTTGTTGGAATAGAAATTGTCTCGCATACAGAACAATGCAAATTTTTCATTGCCGTACTTAATTTTACTTTACTTAATCTGAACTACGAACAGATACAAAAGTCATTGTGTGGAAATCCAGTGAGATTCAATTGAGGCTTAACGTTTTCCTTAAGACTCGAAAATTGCAAACTCAATCCCTCTTTATTTGGCAGTCCCATACAAACTGTTCCAAGTAGCTTGCACTCGCCGGTCGTATTCGGCAGGTGAGAGGCATAGCACCCGACTTCTTTTAAAAAAATTCTGTTGTTTAACCCCGCCTCTTAACTGGCGCGCTTTAATTATGCGTTTTACTGTGCAAAAAAGTGGGGATAATGACAAGGGCCTGACGCCCCAGGCGAAGGCGAAGGCTTGGGGCAATAAACTCCATCCGGTCCAACAGTCTATTTCAGAGGAAGGAATATACCATAGCGTTTCAGTCAGTTGGGTTCTGCATTTACTGTAAGAAGTTTGAAGGACGAACGAATGCATCTCCGGGTTACCTGAGTCTTTTTCAATGAATGGTACTTTTTGTAGAACATAGGCGTTTGCCGACAATTCCGACCGTCATTCGCTTCTTGAAAAGTATTCACGCTGGGAGCTCATAGTACAGGGCATTGAGTTATCTTGTTTACCTAAAAGGAAGAAGTTGATAATGAGAGAAAAACCCTACTCCGCTAACTAAAAAAATTTCAACGTCGTTAGCGATACAAAGATAGGATGCACTAAGCGATCGAAAGTTACATTGAATGACATACGAAACCTGATCCGCCCACCTACCCTACGTACATACGAAGGACAATTAAAAGGCTTTTGGCTCTCTGCCTGAAACACTTTTTCATGAAGGCCACCGAAGACAGAAATTCCTGTTGGCCATCAGTCCTGAGATGGGTCGTGTGATCCCTTGTCAATCCTTCAAGTCAAGACAGTTAAGGGCACTATAAGAGTTTAAAAGCCTGTCTATTTTTCACGTGGACGAACACAAGTGCCGGATCCGTGTTGAATGATTTCGTGCTCTCCTCCAGTCCCAGTGACAAGTTCAATCAAGTCGCCTGGAAATGAGAGCAAGTGTAGTGGCTAACGCTTCGGCAGAGTTCATGTCAAACGCCCGAGGTGCGTTTGCTCAGGTTTAACGCCCCTACTGACAAAGGTAGTGTAAGTAGTGCACCTCATATACCCCTAGTCCCAGAATTTTGTCTTATGGAAACGGTGGTCACAGGTGTTTTGGGGATGGGAAAATAGGATAGGCAGTAAGGGAAATTTGTGGAAGTAAGTGTGGAGTGGAAAAGTGTAGTTGAATTTGTTTCCCGCGACCGCTGGGAGTAAATTGTTCCGCATGTAAATTGAAGGTGTGCGCGGTGCTTCGCGCCGCGGACTATATTAATCTAACTCCAGAACGGTAAGTTGAAGTAGACGACCTCCTAACCACCATTTTTATTTTTTTCAGGAATTTCAAGAAACCTGCATGTTGATAATCGGGTTTTGCCGCACTACGTTAAACAATAATACAGATTAGGAAAATCTACAGCTATAAATCAACAACATTTCTAAATACAATAAAATAAAATTGCATATAACAGTTATTAAAGTATATTCGATTGCCTATACTAATTCCCCACGCATGAAACCCCTATAACCACCGTTTTCTTAGGACAAATGCTGGACTACGAATATATGAGGTGCACTAATTAAAATAACCTTGCCCCTCTATTATTCTACTTTAATTTACTGAAAAAGAACAAACGGTTATTGGAACCCGCTGATGAATGCACAGATGACTTGAATTACACATGCTAATTTTCTTCCCACCATCGGCCAGCAAAATCAGACCCTCAGTTTCGTGAGCTTAATAGTCAGATATTCATGTTGATTTGAGGTAATTTTACCCTACTAAAATATTTGCTATTTTTGCTTCAAGCGCGGCTTGCGAAAGAACGCCAGCTCTGACATCATAGGAAATTTCAACCCATGACAGACATGACAGAATTCCCGACCGGAGCTTTGTAAATCATTTGGCAAGATGCTAGGCTGTACTGAGGTCTTGTTGTTTCTGTCGCAGGTGAGGATTCAACCGAAAGCGTTGAATTTGCAGAGTTTGGGAACCAGTTAAAATAGTTGAAGAGGTTTGCTAGATAAGTCGATAAATTAGTTTCTGCTTCCGCCCAGCTGACATTCGAGGCTTCCTTAATAATAAACCGTACCGGACAAGGAAAAGACACATCTTACTTTCCGTGGCAGAACATCTGCAGAAATTATTAAATGCCAGACGAATGAACCAACGGAATGGAGTCGTTCCGAAGGGGTAATAGGCACCTCTGCTATGCCTGGACCTTTGGTTAGCTGCCGACCAAGATTTAGTTCTAATTTTAGTTTCTACACTTATGAGGCGCTCAGCGCACTTATGTTGCTCAGTGGCAGACAAAAATTGAAAAAATAACCTCTGGAAAGCCTATATATTCACAATCAGAAGACGTGATCACTGGAGCAAGAAGTTTATTGGCCTGAATTTTTAAATTTTCGCTCGGATCCATCAGCAGAGACAGAACAGAAAAGGGTACGATTGCCTCCACTTTCACCATCCTCAAAGGATAGCGATCCTGGTAAAGTGGGGACTACCTGCTAGCATGGCTACGGGCTGCTCGGTGCGATATAACAAACGGAATGGCCTTCGACGAAAGCCAGCTGAAAATTGGGACATCATATTCCCCTTACATTCATCCACACGTACTTTTGGACTTCATTATAAGCAGTTGAATACTCTCCTTCCATATAATGAATCTGGTTTGTTGTTTATTCATACTGCTTTATGATACCCTTAAGGTGACCACAATAAGCAAGCTGTTGAACAAGAGTTACAGCCTGCGTCAAGTTGCAAACTCCACTAGCAAGAGAGGTGCGCTTTCGTCTGTGTGGGGGGACGATAGCGTTTGAAAACCACCATTTCGTTTAACATTTTTATTTGTTTGTTCTCGAGTTAAATAAACTCTTAGGCCCACAGAGTAAACAACTGTGGACCGTAAAAACTTAATTCTTCCAGACGCGTGGCGGAACTCCAGTCTGATCAGTCAGTTGATCACATAAAAGGTCATAAAACACAACTATATTGCGCATGGTGGAGGTATCCTGCTTCAGGGGGGGGGGCTTATTTCGCCACCTATCAGCATATTTCTGAAACCTTAAATCCTTGTTTTTCGGAAGCATGGACGAGGACGCAAAATCCAGTAGAATCAGGCCATTTAAAGTTACAAATCTATGGTAAGCTCACGATCTAACTGGACTTTCAGCCAACCAGAATTGGCCGACGTTATTGATGATAAAATGTTGAAAAATCAACAAAACCACTGTCACTTTCGTAAAACCTCTACTAATAATACTCATCAGTAGCAGTGTGGTCATCGTTGTTCTCCTTTAACAAAGAATTCCCGTGGCAGCGATAATCAGAGTCTACTGAAAAATGAAAACAGGGATGCTACGCTCACTCGTGCTCCGGGAGTCGTACTCTAACAAATCAAATTCAGCGGCTGGTGACTGTCAAAAGGCACTAATGATCTACGGACGGCCACAATTGGGCTGAATTAATAAACAATCAAGCAAAGATGAATATTTGAAAATAGTCATCGGTGGTTGGCATTTGCGTCACTAGTTTTTAGCCCTCTGACCTGGAATTAGATAGATCCGTTCACAGGACAGTCCTGCCTTTGGGAGCTTATTTATGCGACATTTGAACTCAGCCATTCCCGTATGTTCATATTTTTAGGACCCCAGATCACACACCGAAACAGTAAATATTCGTGGGAAAGAACAGTTTATAGTTGCCTACATCCGCCCGCTTCGAAGTCAACTCTTTCCTTGTGTCTGCTAGATCTATTTTGTCTTGCGCCCTCAGAACTCGCTCGTCC